TGAATAACATATTCAAATAAGCACTTTGTTCAACTACACAAAAAGTTGAAAATGTTATATGGAACTTGATTCATACTGAATATATAATGCAAACCATATCCATCCAAAAATACATGATTATTACATATTCACAATATGTTATTGTAGAATGACTAATACATTCTGCCCAACCCATGTTCATCGGAATGTTTTCTAATGAACCCATGTTCATCATAATGTATTGTAATCACATAACTTTTTTCAACTACACAAAAGGGTAAAATGAAATCATAGACAACTATATCAAAAGTTTCTTAATGCATGTAGAAAATAATGCAAAACATAATGATCAATATTCATTGATTATAACATGTGGTAAAACCAGATTCACATCTAGCTATTGAAGCATCATTAACACAAATTGATGAACCCATATTAGTCAGATCCATATGTACCCACATAACTTTTTCAAACTACACAAAAGGGTAAAATGAATTCATACCCAACTAGATCAAAAGTTTCTTGATGCATGTATAAATAATGAAAACACATAATGATCAATATTCGGTGAGTATAACATGCGGTGATACCAGATTGACAATAAGAATAATATGTACCCATTCTCATGAGAATCATATGTACCAACTTGGCTTTTTACATATACTTCCACCACTAAAATGAAAGCATATTCAAATTTATTAAAAATTAGAGATTCACTAAATATTTAATGAAACCATTTTATAAAATGTAGTATATTTAACTAAAACACAATAGTATAATCCTATAATGTGTTGAACCCTGTAATATCACCAAGAATTAAAAGGCATAATTTAAGTGGAATCACGTTTTGGACAATTCCTCGAATCATGTGTAGCCATTTGTCGACATAACCGACACTTTCTTTTCTGCTTTTTGCCATTCGTAATTGCTTTCTCGGCAGCGCTAATAAGTCTCTTACCAGTCCCACAACCTTTATTCCGTATGCCGGTTGGAGGTAGAACATCAATATTTTCTGGTTGAGATACTCCAAGAAACTCTTTAATAGATGMTGTTGTCTCTTGAGCGTGTGACTGTATAGGAAGTTCACTATCAATCTTTGTATCCCATTCTTGAAGTTGGTCAACAAATTTTGACAAAATATGTTTCTCATTTCGCACTCGACCTAGAATACGTTCAAAATACGAATAAGCAACACTCATCAACTTCTCCTTATCAGCGTCAACTTCCCCATATCTGAAACGTGCTGGTAACCACTCCACTGGGACTAGATCGCGCCTCCAGCGGCGAAGTATATACTTATCTGGAATTCTATTAACCTCGTCGTTTAACATTACCTTGAGAGCATGACGACATAAAATCCCGTTACGAACAAACCAGTTACATGAGCAATCTTACGAGTTTTCAATCTTGTTCTTGACAACCTATCAAGTGAGAAACACGAGAGATATTTTGAAGTTGCATTAGGAATTATACTATTTGAACTGTTTGGCAAAATTGGAAAATTAATAAATAACTACCGTGTACTTTGTGGTGATCTTAGAAGCTTTGTTCTTGTGTGTTATTGTGTACACTCGGGTTTCACCAACGTCAGTGAATCCATCCCATCCGCAAAGCCAAACAGCCTTTCTTAACTCTTTCTGAACTTCAAAAAATATCGTTCATGTATATACTTCTGCTGCATGAGCTTCTAATTTGCAAGGAGACACCAATCGAGGAACCGTGCTCTTCGTTGTCACCTCTAGCGAACCATGTGTTGTCCGTTGGCTTTCAATTGCATTATCAAAAGAACGAAGAAAAATGACAAGATCGTGCCAAAAATATGCATACACATTAAAAAAAGCATTAATACTCTCCGACCTCGATGTTGTTTTCATTAAACCGGACATATGATAATCCTTATAATAAGCCGGAATCCATGACTCCCTAATCTGATATAGTTCATCAAACCATGAGTCTCCACGTAATCCATATGAATCCATCAKGTTGAGCCATTTCATCTCAAATTCATCAGGGGCAAGGTGAACATTCCACACTAACTTATTAAATTCGCTAACAAACGGCGTACGATGTTGGAGGTAATTATTGATCTGCAAATTACACATTTAGAAGGAAAACTTAAAAAAGATGAAAAATTAACAAAAACAAAAAAGTTTCATCGTAATTACCTTAGATTTGAGCTTTTTAGTGATATGCCACATACACAATCGATGCTTGGATTCAGGAAATGCAATGAGAATTGCTTGTTTCATCGACGCACATTGGTCAGTGATCACAAAACGTGGTTGACGTTCATGAGCTTTTACAAACGCTTTCAATACCCAAGTGTAATCAACCACATATTCATTGTGAATCAAAGCAACTCCAACAACGACAGATTTCTTATGATTATCAATTGCAACAAACGGAACAAATATCATGRCATGCCTATTAAAAGTAAACATTATAAATTAATACAAGCTATAACATGTAATATAGATAACACAAATGAAATAGATTCGTATAAATTGTAACTTACTTATTCGTCCTAAAGGTTGCATCAAATGATATTGCATCACCAAATTCCCTATAATTCGAACGCACAGTTTCATCAGCCCAGAAAATCGCTAACAACTCCTTATCATCACACTTGTACTCGAAAAAAAACTCGGGACACACCTTCCTCCTATTAGACATCACATTTAATAACATTTGTGCGTCTTTATTGCCAACAAAATAAGCCATATCGCGTTTGAAGTTTTGATGATCCCTTACGGTGCCACCCGAGCAATCTACACCACCCGTAATTGCTTTCCTAAATCTATGAGATTTTGTGATACCAACCTTCGAACTAGAACCGTGAAATACATTTTTGTGATCAGCGTAGTGTAGTTGCTTTTTAGAACGTGAGAACCTCATCTCCTCCTTATTAAAAAGCATGTGATTGTGTTGCTCAATAAATTTATAAACTTCATACTGCCTCCGTTCTTTAACAAAATGAATCTTCAAACATGCTCCACAACCGGAACGCTTTACATTTGAATTACGGATCATGCGATCACCAGGAAGAATATCTAAGGAATCAAAATACTTACTTGGTGGCCTTCCTTCCTTGCTACACACATAAAATCGAGACGTGATACGGCCCTTCTTATTTATCTTTTTGTTGGATAAACGTACATCAAACCCAACTTCATTAGCATACTTACAGTACATTCTTTCAACCGATTCTACGGTCTCAAATTCATCACCCACTATCGGCTTATATTCTGCGTCTACATTGGGAAACCAAAATTTCGACCCATCGTTCGTTTCCCCCATAGCATCAGATTGATAATCTAGAAAAATCAAACAAATTGTAGCTTTTTCATTTACTAACTTACTGTTGGTCCATAACAGTAACGAATTTGTATACGTTTCATCTTTCCATCTGATGAAAATACAGGTTGGGTTGCATGTTACATTGAATTTAAGTTTCATTAACACCATGATGAACACAGTTTTTAGTATTCATAAATGTATATATGACTTAAAATGCGATAATCACTGCTTCAAATCACAAACATATGCATTAGGTTCATCAACTAATTTAACCTGATTCAAAAACTACGACTTTATGTTCACGTGCAATCAAATCAGTTATGGCTTCATCAAAAACAGTGATGAAATTGGCCTATACCAAAACAGTAAGTGATGAAAATGGCTTCACAATTCTACTTCTYCAAACAATTTGTSMCATTGCAGCCTATGYTRTTCATTAAGGGATTAAAATTCTAGTATATCCAGGAAACGAACAATATGGGTGTTTTTGTGAAATCTGGATTCATTATAGGAAACTGTATCACCATATAAAACATGCTATTATAGTGCATTAACATATCGGTTCATTAACAACATCATGTAAACAATTTTTAGGTTCATTAACATGTTTTTAAAGTGCAAAAGACATAATCATATGAAAGCAAATCAATACCTTCCGCTTCATTGCTCAACGATGCAACGTCAATATCGACAAAATCTACGAAAACTCCATCGTTATGCTCACTTACTGTTTCGTTACGATCGTTGCATCCATCTTCATTCCTCATTGAATAGTTAGCTTGATCTTCAATTGTTTCATTATTAACTGCGGTTGCATTATCACCACCATAATCAAAATCTTGACAGTCGTTCATGGAATCGAAAACACTGCTTTCTTCGACGATATCCTTACTGAAAATCTCGTTGAATGGCATATAATCCATATCACTAATACTGGGTTTTATACAGCAATTGAGATGAACTTCAAAACTATTCAATTTCAATTTTAAAAATTAAGTTATGTAACTCTAATGAATCAATCAAACAAATATGTTCAAATATCATTTAGTTTCATCAAGAATTCAATTTCCATAAAATGATGATTCAATCACCATAAATGATGATTCAATCACCATAAATATAATGGACTGAATTTTTAATTTTAAAATAAATAAAATACTCTAGATTTAGAAAATGACATATTTAACCTTTTGAATTAAATAATAATAAAAAAAAAAATCATTGATTGGTTGGAAAAGAGTTGTATTGGTTGTAAGAATAGGTTGGGTTGCATTTGATATATTCCCTATATATATATATATATATATATATATATATATATAAATGAGGTTTCGAATACAAATCATGTGAATTTTATAAATCAATTTCAATTTAAATTATAATCATAATAAGTAATTAAATCTTATCATACTTCATAAATATAAATAAACGATGATTATTATCCATAAATATCTTATTATTTGATTTATTTTACAACAACCATATATCATTTGTATAACCAACGCAACCTAATTACATCCATAAACTTTTCATCCATGGTCGAAAATTGGGCAGTTGGAATGTTATTTTAAATTACATTTTTTGATCTATTTTCTGAATTTAAAATCTGTTTTAGGAGTAATTTGGAAAATAGATATTTTATATATAGTAAATAGGATTTGTTTAGTTAGATTATATGTTTGTATATACAGAAGATGGTTCATTAGACTATATATATGTTTGTATGTAGAGAAGATGGTTCATTAGACTATATATATGTTTCTGCAATCATAGAAGTAGTTTGTTCATACAGAAACATGTTTCGTTATAAAATGTCATGTTTGTCGTTACCACTACTTTCATATAGAAACATCAAAAAACCAGAAAATATTCTCTAGGGATATATCATATGATTTGGCTTCTTATTATCTTCAACCTTGTTTCTTTTCTATTAGTTTTCTTGAAAATTATAACTTTTAAAAGATTTTGTTTATAATTACAGGAAAGGAGATCTCGCTCTTTCCTTTCACCGGTCGGGATGTGCATCCTATCCTATCCTATAATAAGCAGCTTGGGACTTAGAGTAAGCAGGAAGCGTACTTGTTAAGAGTAGGGGCGCTATTGCTGAGTGAGTGTTAATCCTACTCGAAAGGGAGTGATTGCACTACTAGTCGTAGGGCGCGAAACGGTCTAACAATAAGGTTGGAGGGAGTGAGACTTCCTATATATGTTAACAATAACCGCTGCAAGAGTGAGCGCAGTTGACTTACACGTCCTATTCAATACGCGGAAATATTCCCCCATGGCATTAAAACATTAAAAAGAAAACATTAAAACAGGAGGTAGAAATAGAATCGTACTTTTAAAGTTTTATATTGACCGAAATTCGTTCAATATATATGGATGTATAAATAATAAGAATTGTGAACATTTTATAAGATTCGAGTTGTTGGGTAATCAAAAAACTATGACACGACTTTAAGTTTTTTAAAAGCTATTAGATACATCTGTCTGCCAAAATGATATATGAGTTGATTCTCATAGTGCAGCAAACAGATCAATTGAACATCATATAGGAAGATGATAGGTAGGGTGCTAAAAAACCCGATCAAACCAACGCGAAATAACCTAACTCGAAGCAACCCGATGTCTAATCGAGTTGTAAAATTGTTAAACCGTAGGTATTAGGTTGATATTGGGTTACTATTATTGGAACCCAACCCAACCCAATGAACCCGATATCCTTTTATTTCTTGAATTTAATATGATTGTTGAATTTCTACTAATATATACATTAGACAATCACACTATCATGTATGCTTTTCATATATACATACTTTCAATCTATTCATATCTCTATATAACTCATTCATACTATATGTTCAGTAACTGTGAACATATATATGTAAATTGAGAATATTAACTGAATTTGATATAAGTAAAAAATATGGATAAAATGTATCAAATGGTTGATGATGAAAAAAAAATTATGAGTAAGAAATAATATATTCAAGATTAGAAGAATATTTTAATATATCAAATTATCAACCCGACCAATCTGTACGGGTTGGGTTGGGTTGGGTTGCACTTTGGTTTGGGTTGGATTAGGTTAAGATTTTTTCAAACCACAAGCATTGGGTTGAATTGTTCAAATGTCTTCAACCCAATCAAATGTCTTCAACCCAATCAACCCAAGCCAGATGTCATCAATTTTACACCAATGAATTTGTGACATTTAATCACATATGAATAAAAAATAAGATTTAGAACATGCACACACATTCCTAAGCAAATTGCAAAAGCAATTAAGAAAAACTTTGCATGTTACATAAGATTAAACTTGCAAATTTTGCAATTACAATTGAAAGCCACGTGGCCATCTCCATTCCTCCACCTTGTCTTTTTGTTTTTCTAATTGATTTAATAAACTAAATTATCTAAATTATAATTATATATTATGACATATAATATTTGAAATTAATGTTTATGTTTTAACTAATTTATATTATCTTATTAAGCAAATTCATCAAAAGTCTTAAAGTTTTAAAATTCTAAATGACCAAGATACTCTTTTCACTTTTTCACCCTTTCCTCCTCTCCTCACATACATTTATCTCTCACATTCAACGATTTTTTTTAAACTATAATTTTAAATTTACATTTTATATCCCTATAATTAGTTAATTAATTACTTTACGTCCTTTACTTTTAAATGTTTCATTTTAAACCTTTATTAAATTAACATACATAATTGTATATCAAATAAAACATGTTTAAAAAATACATTTTTATTTTAAAAAGTTACACTATTATAATCGTCTCGTTAATACCTTCGAAATGAGTCCAATATTGAATAATTTTTGACTTAATTATATTATTATATATTATATACTGTGAAAAAATATTTTTAATGTTTACGATTTATACTTTTATAGTTATTTATTTATTATATATGCTATACATTTTGGGATTAGGCTGTCTAAATTGCACTGTATAATATGTTCTTGGGTTTTTTTGAAATATATATATACATGTATTAATTCAACCTTAATCTGAATTTCTGGACAAGAAAGAGAGTAAGCGGTTGAAATTTCATTCTAAAACCCATCTTTTTTGGTCTTATCATAGCTTATAATCTGTCAAATTTGTAGTTTTCTTTATTGGTTTTGAGTGTTTATCTTAAAACTCAAGTTTTTTGGTTCTTTGCTCTTGGTGTAAATCGAACATATTTGTGGAGTCGTTTAAATATGTTGAATTTTAAAAATATTGGATTTTAAACTGTCATACAATTTTTTTCATCGATAGTCTGTAATTAGAACCATAACTCTTATTTATTCAAATTGTATTAATATGTAAAGATCAAGTGTAACATATATCATCGTTAAATCTTGTCTTATAAAACCAATGAAATTTCAAAATCATTAAAATTCATGGCGCCCGTCGCATTGCACGGGTACACAACTAATATTAAATTAAGATAAAGAATTATATATTATATATTTATTAACTAAAAAAATAATTAGAATGCATAATATAATTTATTTTGTAGTTAATGAATGTTGCAGTGGGAACTATTTTTGAAAGTGCAGATGAATTGCAGGATTATAGATGGTAATTGGAAAAGCTGATATAACATAACTGAAAGTATAAAATTGTGGGAATGTGGATGGTCTCAAAAACTTTTACCACGATTTTAAGTTGATTTAGACCTTACTACGTTACATTTACGATCAACACATCTTGTAAACTACTCTATAAATGTGTATTTGGGATCATGAGTTTTCCGTTGCCCTTTGTAGGGTATTTATATAAGATGTTTTGATAAACATTGACTTAATTGACGTTTTACATTATTTCTAGCTTAATTTTCGTTCCTATAAACTCCCGAAAGTGTCAAAAATCGAGTCTTTTATGTAGATTTTCATCATGATGTTTCCCAAAACTCTTATGAATAAGCCCTTTTGTTCCATGATTCAACACTCCATTTTACTTCACTTTTACAATATGCATGTTGAAATCATGGGAGCTTGCTTCTTCCTGTTAAACTCAAGCTATATTTAAAAATCATTTCTTGACAAGTTGATCATTGATGAAAATGGTAAAGTGTGACGGGTTTTAAGATAAGTCATCTTGAACACGTTAACTTGAATTATATAGAAGTATACTCAAAAGAGTTACTTAATACCAAGAAATTTTACTTTCATTCCATGCAGCTTATACAAAGGATGGATTGTGTCAATGACAAAATTATACTCTATTTTAGAAATATTAGAGTTAGTCTTTGAACGTGTGCCCTTCTCAAACTCGAGAGAGTTGCCTTACACACGTTGATCCTTAGATAAGATGAGTCATTCTTTGCAGTTTTTCCGAATTTATTTGTTTTAAAGTTTTAACGGATCCCTACACTCTTGCTCCTTTTTAAATTCTTGTTTACATCTATAGTTATTAAAAACTCACTCAAAAATAATTAATGCGTTGACAAGTGTATATTTGCACGAGTCTCAGTTTTCTAATAGGGTGAAAGAGATTAATTTCATATAAATCTCACAACAAGTTTACACGATAGGTAACATGGAAGACTACCTCTAAGCTATAAAGAATGTTTGCCTAACTATAGAAAGATATACACAATCTCTAATCAGTATCTACAAAATCTCTATTACACCCCCACAATCGAAGTGGGAGGATGTGGAACACGAATACCGGAGCGGAAGTCATCAAACATGGAGCGAGGTAGGTCATCGGTGAAACATGAGACGCAAAGGACATGTACCTATCCAAGTGCAACTTTTTCCAGAATGAATTGAATATCCATTTCAATATGTTTGATACGTTGATGTTGGACAAGGTTGCTGGAGAGACACACTAACATTGTCACAGAAGACAATGGTAGCTTTAATGGCATGACAATGAAGCTCAAGGAGAAGATTGCTAGCCACCAAGA